ATTTAGTTACAATTCATTGCAAATATTGTCTTTATAGAAAACTATTACAAATAATAACATAAATTATACGCTCAATTAAATATAGGTAATTCTATACCTCCTCAATAACGAAAAGAGAACATTCAACAAAATCGAACTTATTTATGTTACAACCCTATAATAACTTTAACTACTAACATACACTGTGTCTCATTTAAGTCTCTTGATACCTTCAAAACCATCAATTATATTTCAAATATATTTTACACAAAATTTCTCATCTTTAACCACTCGCCTGATCTCTTCGTCAGCCATAATTAACCCAACTACTTTATCATCAATAATTTATTGAAAAGAGCAAAATTCTATTCATATCCTATTCTTGTATTTACTTTAAAGTATAATTATTAATAACAAACCAATAACATTTAATTTGAATTCACAAAAATTACTTAATATTTCATCTTTATTTGCAATGTTATAAATCCGTTCATCCAAGCATTCTCCTTCAAAATGAGACTGTTTCCGGTATCCGAGTCAGGCGAGCCCTCCATTATACGTCTGTTGTCTTTATTTTTGCCTCGTTATTTCGCCGGGACTCCAATTTACACTTGTCCTATTTCGAAGATGGAAACAGACAAGCGAAATTAGCCTCGTAGAATCGTGGAACGAGATCCGGTGATTGTTTTCCTAAAAATCCCGCATTCTCCGGATTCCGGAAGCTCCGATCTTCCAGGGAATTGTTCCTAACGCCCGGGCGTCGTTGAAGAGGGAGCGCGAAGCGTCCACGACAGTTGTTTGGGATTTGCGACTGAATGCTTCGCCGAGTCGAAGCAAATCCTTCCAGGTTGTCGAGTACCCGGCCTGGATTTTATAACATTCTCCCCTTTCCCCTTCGCGCCGTGGATACGATCTTCGGAAGCCGATTTTTTAAAGGGGATTCCCGGAATTTTAAAGCTCGCGGACTGGGCTAATCGCGTTTAAAAACTGCTGAGGCTACGGGAACTCGTGTTTACGCTAATATGTCGAAGCTCTGCGAAAGCAGCTTACGCAGATAAATCCTTGAGAATCGGATATTTTGCTGAATTATGATTTTTTTACGGTAAATTTATCGAATTCGTCGGTTTGATGAATAGTGAATTTTATAAACATTGTTTGGTAAAGTTTATGCTGATTTTGGTTGGTAATTATTGGAATATAATTAATTTTGTAGTTTTGAAGCTACGGTTTTTGAAGTTTATATAAATGGAGATTTTATTTTCCAGGGATTGTAGATTAAATGTATAACAGATATTTGTGAACCTAGTATTGAACAGCTTTAGTAATTGAGAAATAACATTTATTTGTTTAAATCTTCTTATACTGCTTCGTTAATTCACTTTATATTTTTATACGACAGTACAAGAGATACAAATGAAATTTCAATATAATGAAAATGTATTAACGAATTTCTCAGTTTTTCGTATTTGTTGCTTATAACGTAAAATGATGTCTTCCCGCAAACTGTTACCCAGCTGATTATCGTTCACACAAAATCACTTAATTTTGAAGAATTTTACTTCATTCTAAATAACAAGTAATTTTATATATGAATACCATATTTCAGTACATTAACATTTTAGTACCATAATTTCATTCATCACAAAAAATCGTTTTTATTCCACGTTTGCTCATTCAATATTATAAAATAAGAAGCTCATAAACCGCAGAAATATTAAAGTTCACTATATCCATCAAATCAAACATTGAAATGACAACTTTCACTCATTCAATCTTAGAAAATCAAGAAACTCGTAAGCTGCAGAAATATTCAAACTCACTGTATCCATCGAATGAAACACTGAAACCACAAAAATGGCTCTCAAAAATTAATATACAGTGAAACAAATAGACGAGCCCATAGAGAACAGTAATCAACGAACTTTTGTCCATCAATCATTGGAAGATCATAAACGGTCCCAATGTCTTCGTTGCAAACGGCTATCGAACTGTCGAGCTGTCGCGCGTGTCGGCTGGCTTTTATGACGCGGAGATAAAACCTTAATCAACATAGCGGAAAGAGCGTCCCAATTTCGATACGCGACCTCCCGACGGAAGTTATCAGGCTGGCTCGCGAATGTTTCGCGGAGCAGCCAATAAAACCGGCTTCGATCCGATATCGGCACCCGGTAGCCAATTTTCAGCCGGCATGTCGCGTTACCGAGACGGCTGGGAGATGGTGAAGACGCATGGCGCGGAAATATTCCGCGGTTGTCATAAATCTGTCGTGACTCGAAACTTCTTCCGCGCAACGGATCCTCCGAAGGTGTCTCCGATTTATATTTTTCCTAGTGAATTTCAGGGTAAATTACTCTACGAGCAAGAGAATACGAATTTTCTATCTGCGAAGGAGGCAGATTTTTTCGTGACATAAATATTTATTGAAGTCATTTGGAGAGACAAGGGAGACATGGGAACTGATTTGCTTTTCCTTGAGAATTATAGTAAATGAACAAAGAAATTAAGGAAAAATTATACTTGCCATGAGTGTATAGTGAATTTTGATATTCTTAGCTGTTTTGTTGATTGTTATAGGTTCATTTATTTAATTTAATGTCACTTGAGATTAAGTGGGCTTGTGATGAGTAAACTATGTTTTATTAAGATTAGCATTTGTTTTTCGAAACTTGAAATTTTGAATTTAGTAAATTGAGAATATTAACATTTGTTACTACTTTCGTTGTTCTGATCAGTATTAAATGGAGCATAAAGGTGAAAATGTTTCTCAAACTAAGACAAAAATTTATAGAACCAAGTAACATATTATTTATTTCTGTTACTTCAAGTACTTCCATAATTCTTACGATGGTTAATGAAAAACCATGAAACAAAGAGTTAACGCTGGAACTATCAACTAATATAATTAATTAGCCTGCAACTATACCTAGCATTTTTCACATAAGTTCCAAAACTACATCCACGGAAATCATTAAATCAATTTATTTACCATTCTCTCAAGAGAGTAGCATCGCTTCAATAATTCCAAACCAAAAAACCCAAATACAATAGTCCCAACATCAACACAAAATCGATCCACGAAAACCAAAATTACTTTCATGTCGTCAAATCTTGTGCCCTATAAATCTTCAAAATGATTAAAAATACGATTGGCAATGACAGCCATCTATGGATTCAGCCGGATAAAATTATAATCGTTACAAAGAAAATCGGATCTCAATCTCCATGACAATATTTATGAAATAAATTAATGTAGTTGTTCGTTACGTCCCGATCAATTGTACCGAACCGACGTGTTTACTTGTTGTCTTAGTTAAATAAAAACTGATTCATTAATCCACTATAAAACCAACAAGATGAAATCACGATGCGTACTCTCAACTAAGGACGCTTCGAGTCGATACGAGTTGCACCGCTAGCATCGAGATGTCCACGAATCGAAGCGCACCGGATACGTAGCCAGAAATATCCTCTAGCTGGGTGTAATCTCGCGTGACAGGTGTTTCTCGCACGGAGCACGGATCGACAGACGATCTCTGATCCCGCTGGTTGAATTTCTTTTCTGGGCGACGCGACGGCTCGCTATATTTTATTTTTCGGTCGTAACTCGCCGAGCACCGTGTTTCCGGTGAAATGGAACATCGCCGTCCCTCCGTATTCTCTTCGAGAGCCTGCAACGATTGAAACGTCGCGACTCTGTTCGTCGACCGGAAGACGATTTAACGGATAGAGGGTGTCTTTGCTTCGAAGTGAAAGCGGATCGCGGGGCGAATCGTTGCTCATCTAGAAATTCAAGCCGGTACACCGGTTCCATGAAACGCAACTTTCTTCAATAAATACGCACTAATTGCAGGCTAATGTAATACTGGTGTCATACCGGTATTTTTCGGTTTTATCTTCGTAATCCTTATAGAAACTGAAATACAGTGAACAGTGGATAATTGCAACACGAAAATGGCTGCCACGTATTCGTTCAAATTGTTTGTAGTAGAAAATTTAGCCATAGGAAAGACAGTATAAACGTAACAGTAATTACAATGTCTCTGTGAAACGTGTTTCTTGTAAGAATATCACCATCATACCATCATTTTCCCTTCAGACTCTACCTGATACCACCAGAGCTTATATTTTCGCTCTCAAATTTGCAACTTCTTCGCATGTTAAAGTTCAATATTTTCAAAGAAATGCCCTACGAAAACTGCATTATTTGAATAACAATAACGAATAAATAGTTAATCATTATTCAGTTATTTGTTATTTGAACCTTTGTAATATGAACCTTTATTCATTAATTATTGTTCGTCGTTTCTTATTCATATTCACAAATTAGTTTTATAACAAGCCGATGCCATTCTCGTTTCTCACGTTTCTACATGCAGCGTTGAGCAAAAGTTACTCAAGCTAACAAATAAAAACTGACGAATAAATTCAATTTACTTATTATCTACAAACAACGAATATATTAATTACTCGTTATTCACAAAAACACTCAAATTGTATGTATCCACCACACTTTTAATTCTCTATCTTAAAAAACTTTCCTCCAACGTCACATATAATAACACAAATCAGTCTTAAGCACAGTCATCCAAAGCAACGCTCAAAAAATTCCGAATAAATTCAATTTACTGATCATCCATAAATAATGAATTTATTAACACTAGAACCACCGTACCAGTGAAAATGACTGATTTACTTGTTCCTCAATGATTGATACCTTAAAAGCATTGAATACCCAAAATAATTTCGAGCATAACTATTTCCACTCAAATACTCTGACAAATATCCAAAGAAACTGAAACTAATCTATTCTCACAATTTTTATACTTATTACATATCAATCATATCGAATGCTCGGCAGTTCTAATCTTAATTATCGATTATTCATAAATAACAATCACATTAAATTCATCCATCATTCTTCATTCGTCGCTTCAAAGAACTTTTACTCAAACACTGACTCTGGAGAAGTTGCCAATCTCGGAATCATTCGATTACCGCGCAATCATGGCTAAAACCCTTACCCGTGGCGGTAACTGCACCGATGCGACGGATGCTGTTGCTGGTGATGATGCTGCACCAAGTGCTGCGGGGTGGACCTCGGGGTGCCGGCCGGCGTCGGGCTCCCGGGGCTGCCGATCCCTTCGAGGCCCCTCGACAGCTTCAGCATCTCGGCGCCGAACGCGTGAAGGGCGGACATCGCCGAGGGCGGCAGCTCACTTTCCGGTAGCCAGAGCTCGTGCGAGTCCAGGGTCGTCAGTTCCGTATCGGTGGAGGTGCCGGACGTGTGTTGTGGCGTTCCACCGCTGCCACCCGAGCCCTTGTTCAGCAGGAATCGTTTCCAGGTGCCTCTCCTTTCGAGACCTACGAGCACGCGTCGAACTGAAGTTCGTTTTTCTTTTTATTTTTATTTTCCTTTAAACATAAGAAATCTAGTTGGTATGGATAAAGGTGTTTTGTTTGAAACATGTTTGCGAGTGTTTGGAAATAGGTTACTTGGTATTACTTATATTCAGGTAATACGGATTCTACAAAATTTCGTATTTCGGTATTTACACTGTAATAAGTAATGTTTGTATTTAATATTTTATAGTGATTAAGTAATATTCGTATAGTAATTGTTAATCACTGATTAATGATTAATTTATAATAATTATTAATAATTAAGTATTTATTCTTATATTAATTGTTGTATTTTGGAGTATACGAAGCCATTCATTTGCCAAAGTAGTAAATTTCGTGAAACGAAAAATAAAATTTCATTAAATTACGCACGCGAAGGATTAAACGTTTCAGTGGCAAAATTTGAGAAAACTCGAAAAGTGAAGTTGATCACTTTGACCTTTGAATAAATCAGATATCAATTTTGGAATGAAAATTTAAAAAATTTCATTTAGTTTCATCCTGTTTTTAATTTAATACAATCATTTTCAGAGGAGATAGGGTTTTACGTAATTTTCGTTTCTTTCACAATTTCTCTGCGGAATCATGAATTCATAATTAACTTAATGTTAACGTACCGAATTCGTAGAACAACAAAGCTGAAGGTACAATACAAACGAAGTACTAAATTTACATTCCTGTAATTTCCTCGCCACATTGTTCTAAAATTATTAAACAGACGAAGACGCAGATAGCTCGGCTGTTTTATTTCGGAATTCAAAACGCATTTCCGCGCTGATTGCATTTCAAGTGCCGGCAGAGCTACTGTGGAGCTCATCAGCTTTATTTCCCTGGGCTGTTTATATAAATGCTGCCGCGTCGTTTTTTCTCTGCTCTTTGATTCTCCCCTAGATTACCTGACACTAGCACCTGCCTCAATTTTCGAGATAGATACAACGAATGATCGACGTTTTCGTTCCAGCATTCTGTGTCTGGCAGAAAACAGACCTTGATCCTCTGTTTCTATTAACTTCTTCAACATAATACCAATTATTTCAGAAACTCTCTATTAAAACATCCACTTAATGGTTAAAATAAATACTATCGAACTAACGAATATTTATGAAAATGTACATTTTCATTTACCATCGAACAATCTATGAAACTTGGAACAAGTAAACAATTATTTCTTAAAGAATATTTCATCAAAGTAAAATCTGAAGTCTAAAGTCTTAATTTTTATTAAATACTTAATTTCATTTTATCAATTCTGTCACTACTATCATACTATTATTATACTATTACACCGTTATTATTACTATTAATTCTTATTGATCATCATTTCTCAACAAATCCAGATAAAAACAAGCATTCACTTCTTTCTTTTCGTTTCGTTGGCATTTAAACAACTGTTCCCAGCGAGGATACATATTTCTCTGAATTCAGTGACAAAATTCGGTGATTCTCATTTTCGAAAATAGACGTTCCATGAATGCGTTCCTGTGGAGCGTAAAGTCACGGTGGTTAGGAGACAAAAGGCACAACCGAAGGGCCTCGGTGTTCTTCCGGGACCAACATTTCTGTGAAACTATGGGCTCGCGGTTGTAACCGAGCCCATTAAGTACTAGACGGCGCTGCATCCCCGACGAGCTTCCGCCGTAATGCGCGGTCTGTTCATTAAGTTTCGGTATTTACGCGGCGCTGTTGCAATCTCTGATAAATTGCCGAAATTCTCGAAATCTTCGGCGCCGACTTCGGCACGGCGCGTTCGCTGTAAGCTAATCGGCTGCTGTTTAGTCTCGTGGGAACACGACAGAAGTTACTTAACCGTTTAACACGTTGCACGTCGGAAATGACACACTTGTTTTTTTTACGTGTTAACACGTAGTAGGATGGGAAACAAGAAGTTTCGTTGCATTTAACGAATATTATATTTTATCGGAACTGATTATTCGTTTAAAATGTATCAAGTAACTTTTTTGTCTTTTTGATTTATTTGTCGGTTTAGGTAAAAAAAATAGGATTAATAGTTGTTTATTTATAAACCGTTCTGATTTATTAGGAAATCGTAATTGATTATATGTATTAAATTTGTGTGAGAAATCAGTGCGAGCAGTTTATTGAGTCTTTTTTATCAATAGTATAAGCTATAATAATACTGATCTTTATAACGATAAATTAGTTTTTTTAATAAACGTGCAATTTTCACTTCAATTTAGTTTTTCATTAAAATGTATCATAGGTATACTTGCTTTGTTTTTGACGTATATACTCGTCACTGCTTGGTTTTAATTCCACGCCCCACGCGAGATTTTTGAAACTAAATCATACGGTCAACAGTTTATTCGTACTCTTATCGGCAGTCTTATACCTGTTACAAGTAATGATTAACAATAGAAAAGTAATATTTAATTTATATTTAAAAAATATTGTTGGTTTTACAATGGAATAATGAATCAGTTCTTATTTAACTAAGACAATAAATAAACACGTATGTTCGGTACAATTACAATTGATCAGGACGTAATGAACAACTACATTAACTTGCTTCATAAATGTTGTTATGAAAATGAAAATTCGTTTTCCTTTTTAATCGATTATAATTTTATCAGTCGAATCCATAGATGACTGCCATTGCCAATTCTATTTCTAATAAATATAAATAACACCTAGATTCTTTAAATTCAACTCGAAATTTTCGTCACGAGCCGGACACGATATCGTAGGTGAAGGGGTTAAAATCCGATCTGAGGGATTAAGAAGACAGCAATCGTGGAACACCGTGTTCTCCATTTCGGTCTGATTTATGGCTGCAGGTGTACACGCCCCTTCCGCATCCCCGTCCCCGTCAATTAATTTCGCCGAACGATCGCCCGCCGAAACCGGCCTTTTTAACATACCGTGTCACGAGCGCCGACTTCCGCGTAATTTGCATGTCGCTCCCGTGGCGTGCCGTGAGCGGTGCCCGTCGCGAAATTTCTTGTCATTGCTGGCGAATGGGCGTCGCTGGGTGCCAAAGGAAGAGATAAGAGGCCGGTGGCATCCAATGAACAAGAAAAATGTCACGGGGAACGATGGATCGTCGAATTTGCCGGTCGTTTTTCCTTTTCGTCTTTTTTCTTTTAATCCACCGCGGTGGATGATTGAAAATGATCGGTCCTTCTAGACGGAAGATAAACGAGTCGGCCATTTTACTCGGTAATTGAATTGTTATGGTGTCCGGCAGTTTGTACGAATTTGTAACATGAGTTCTGAGGTTGTGAGGCTTTCAGGTGTGGGATGATGATTGTTTGAATTTTTAGGAATTCATTTTGAAGATTGTTGGGAGCAGAGAGGTTTTGGTATTTGGGTGATTTTTATTTGGACATTATAGGAAGAGTAATTCTTATTTTTCTAAATTGTTCAACTGCTATGTTTTCTTTTTAACCCTCTATGGGCTGAGTTTTTTGATGCTGTAACCAAATTTATGCAGTATGAAATTAATAAATATCGACCTATAAGTACAAGTTAACGATGTATTCAATAGTTTTAATAATTTTATTAAAACGAATATGTTTTGTAATTTTAATGTTACGACAACGTTGAACGGTTACGCCTGTAAGTATGAAGGTTTAAGTTGATTAATTATTTAATTTCTTTATCGTTTTGCGATGGAAAATTAAATAAATCAATTTAATTATGCTCATGTGTGGTTTCAAAGTTACATGGGCCTATAGAGGGTTAATATTTATTGCTATTAGGAATGATGATCATATTAATGTCAAATTGGCGACTTTTATACATTCTTCATCAACTCAGAATTTATAATTTTAAAAAATGACCAAACCAGTTAGGCTATGTCAAAACTCGAATGGTTTATATCAATAACTCAATAAATATTTCCAGTTTCTTTATACATGTGTTAAATTAGGTATTTTCTATAAACGAACTTAATTATTTCTCTTCATTAACCCCTTGTTCTATGATTTCTTTCTGAACTGTTATTCTATATCAACGCGTGCTTTGAAGTATAATCATTGATAACAAAGGAATAATCTGTAATTTCCATGCAAACACATTGAATAACATTCACGTTTCTTAAATACTAATTTGAAATCTTCATAAGTTTTCACGATATCCTAGTACAAGGGGTGAATATTCACCAACAAGAAAATAAAAGAACTTACAACCCAGAAATATCAATCACAAACAAAACAATAAACATCTCAAATAAAAAAAACCAACCCCATTCAACTCCATCCTCAAAATTCCAACCATCCTTGAATATTTTCCACCCCAACACCTCCGCAATCACATCGCGTCCAATAAAAGACACTAAAACCTCAAACCCGAAGTGAATTTGAATTTCATCGTCGCACACACGACTAGCGGATCATCGTCTCCGTAATCCGAATCAAATTCCGCCGATTCGTAGTCCTTAGAATTGTAAAACGCCGAAAGATAAACGAGTCCGGGATACCGGCGGCACGTGAACCGTCCGAAGAATTGGAAATTCAACACGGTCGAGCGGTAACGGTAATCTTTATTTCAACTTTCGCGGCACGTGGGCCATTTCGGTCGGCGGCCGACGACTGGACGATTAAACGCGCGTTAACCGTCGAAATCGCGGAACGATCACGGTCGAACGATCACGAAATTTCTTGTAATTACGATCGACTGGCCGACGCGACTCGGCGATCGTGGTGGGCGGGTAGAAGAGAACCTAGCCACCCAACCCCGATCGACGATAAAAAGCTGCTCGAGTCCGTTGTGAATTATAGACGCGATGAATCACCGGTAAATTTCAGAGGGCCGACCCGTTCGCCGAATAAAACATCCTCGATCTCTTTCCTTTTCGCTGCGTTTTTGCGCCGCGGAAGGAAGAGATTTCCTTGATTCGCGACTGCCGTGCAATTTCCATGCAATCGGCGGGATCTCTGTTACTTTGAATGTCTTCTTTAACACTAAACGTACCGCGACTGGCGAAACGACCGGTTTTTAAA